ATATCTACGCTACTTCTTTTTCCCGCACCCAATTTTTGTTTATATTTAGAATAAAATGTTAATAGTCTAAATCATTAGAACATAATTAATAGGGAGAAATACATGTATGTGAAAAAAATGCACACATGTAGAGTGTACAGTGTGTATTATACTTACATATTCTCGCACATCATCTATTCAAGTCCGCTGTTGACGGTTTCTGCGGAATTATCCCAACAAACAGAGCATATTTAACAGAAAAACATGTTAATACACTTTTACATAAGTAAAAAAGGGTTAAATCATCCAAACCAGCTGAAGAAATACAGTCTTTCAATGCATGGAATCGAGGTGGCAGAGGATAGTTTTGTTGCAATTAAAACGTTTGACTGACGGAGAAATTTGAAGCTTTTAGGAATAAAACATGTACAACTTCACACAATGAGCCCTATAAATAGCACAGGGACAATCTCAAAATTTCATGTGAATCAAGCCTATTTTCACTATTTCGCGGAAGCTGCAACTGCTTCCCGGCCCGTGCTCATGACCTAAGCTACCACACAAATTGCAGAAAAAACATTTGTACGTAACAATGAACAGCAAGAGAAAATGGTTCAACCACCTCGTTTTCAAGCTACAATTCATCCTATGAACCCACCCCGCTTTACCGGTAGAGTGAGTTTTGAGCTTAGATTTGTATTTCTAATCCATATCCCTTATACGGTAGTAGTGAAACTATTTGAGTGTCATTTTTAAAGAAAATATACAAGGCCACTAATTAACTCCAAATGCACCCATAAAATATTCTAGCTATAAAATTTCCTATAAAATGCATTCAAATCTCAGGTTTGTCTATTTTTTTTCTATTTTTTGACTGGTGCTTCATTCGAAACAATCCTCCGCCACCTTTATCCAAAGTCTTTCGGTGATCGTTCACGGTTAGATCGTACGCCGTATTACTCGAAGTTTATAATGTAAATATGTGTTTTGAAAAAAAGAGTTTAATTTTCTAGTTTAATTTTATAAATATTTCTTTTGTACACATTTTGTATCGTATTTCGTTTTTGCAATTTATTCTGAAATATTAATTAACCTTTGCTCGAATTGACTGTAGTATACAGGACAGGATAGGAAAGGATTGGAGAGCACTTGATCAACTTAGGTTTTTTTCGTAAATCCTCAATCCTGAATTCTTTCCGATCCCATCCAATGTCAATTTGTGGGATACATGTAGCAGCACATTACAGTTTGTTGTGGGGATATATCACAATTAGGAATCCAATTAAGGGGGATGTTTGGCAACCTTTAGTGCAGTAAGAACAAAATGTAAACATTTCTTCAAATGGCTAAAATACATTATATTTTGATCAAATTTTGAGTCTTTATGATAAATATACAATAAATATGCATAACTGAATGCATTTTGTGCCTATATAATCTATATTTTGCAGAAAAATGCTTTTGATATTCTCCTTAGAACTGCGCAGCTACAGAATTCAGCAGAGCCTAAAAAAATCCAAAACAATATGCAAAGTCTCTATTTATGCTCTGTTGCAACCACTATTGAAATAACGACCACTATTGAAATAATTATATCAATAGTGGTTGAGATTGCATATCATTAGCAAACATAGTTCATAACCACTATTGAAATACGACCACTATTGAAATAATTATGTCAATAGTGGTTGGGGGTGCATATCAATAGCAAACATAGTTCGTAACCACTATTGAAATACGACCACTATTGAAATAATTATATCAGTAGTGGTTGAGGGTGCATTTCAAAAACAACATAGTTCGTAGCCACTATTGAAATACGACCACTATTGAAATATTTATATCAATAGTGGTAGAGAGTGCATTTCAATAATAAACATAGCTAGTAACCACTATTGAAATACGACCACTATTGAAATAATCATTTCAATAGTGGGTGAAAATGCATTTCAATATAAGAACCATAGGTTTCAGGAACTATTCAAATAATGTTCACTTTTGAAATACAAAAATCAATCTGCCACTGTCGACTGATTGTTGTTTTACGTCATTCGGCCATTTTCGACTCATATAGAGACGTCACCATATACCGGTGAAGGACTTCAAAGTTTGACCTTTACCCGGCACTCAGGGCCATTCAGCAGTGAGGGATCTTTACCGTGCCAATGTCTGTCGTGACGAGGAACCTTGCAACTATCAAAATAATTATTTAAATCACTTTAAATCATTATTTCAATAACTATCTAAATCTTCATCGAACAACTGATGATGAAAACAAAAATATGGATGCCGGGGTTGGTGTATCTTTTTGGTCTGATTTCATTGAAAATGGTAAATTAATGATACATAGTACACCTGGTCAATAGGGCATATATGCCACTTTAAAGACAAAATTGAGATACAATATAATAAATAATATAATAAATTTCTAGAGTATAAAGAAATTATCCTTCTTAAGCTATACATTTTTATTTTTTAATCTAAATTTATACATTTTTTACTCCCAATCCCATTTTTGTGAAATCTTGGTAAAAAATTCAAAATTAAGCGGTAAAACTCTTCTATCAATAAGACAATAGTTGATGAAACTATCGTTCTTATAATGAAATGCATTTTCACCAACTATTGATATAATTATTTCAATAGTGGTTATGAACTATGTCTGCTTTTGATATGCATACTCAACCACTATTGATATAATTATTTCAATAGTGGTCGTATTTCAATAGTGGTTACGAACTATGTTTGCTATTGATATGCACCCTCAACCACTATTGATATAATTATTTCAATAGTGGTCGTATTTCAATAGTGGTTACGAACTATGTTTGCTATTGATATGCACCCTCAACCACTATTGATATAATTATTTCAATAGTGGTCGTTATTTCAATAGTGGTTGCAACAATGCTCTCTCTACAACCATTTGTTGAGAAAATGTCTACATTTTGCATTTTTAAATGGTAATTTCAAATTCAAAACATGGTACTGTTGTCTTCAAAATGAGTGTAAAAACCATGAAAGTAGTTCATGGATAGCAGCACGTGGTCTATTTTTAGCATAGAATTTTGTTTTCCGGACCTCTTCTTAATACGGAGGCACATAATCTTAAAAAGTAGAAGAGAATAACAGTTGTAAAATGTTTCAAATGATATGAACACTTTTAAAAGAGGAAATGTGTTATACTGTGGCTTAAAGTTATTAGTATTATTATCGAACAGTTGTTAAATAGTGTACGTATTGATAAAACTCTTAGATTCAGGTACGGAAAGATGAGTACCATCAAATTTTAAAATTAAGAGTATGTAAGTCTGCCACATATAACTTATTTTATCTATCAAAATCTTAATTATCACCAACGAAACACAAAGAAAATTGGACACATAAAATCGATATGAATGACCTTGTTTTAGTATCTACTAGTATACTGTGTCAAATAAACATTTATAATTTTCATCACATCGGAGCGCCATTTCAAAAGGAATGAAATCATCAGCGTGGGTAAGGAGATTTACTGAATAAAAAACTTTTTTTTTCTGTTTTCCCATATTGTTAAATTACAATTTTACAGAGTAAAAAGATCTACATAATAAAATATTTAGAACATTTTAAAATGACGTTTGGTGGTCCTTCCAACTTAGAGAAAAATTATTGGCTTCGTATTTATAGGTGAGAAAAAAAAATATCAAAATTTAAACATATAAGAAAAAGAAAAAAAATATAGTGTAATTGAATGTAAAAAAAATTAAGACGGGTCATTTCTAGGCAGTAGATCAGGAGAGAGGGCAACCAAATAATTTTTTTTTTAAAAAGTGTAATGTGTTTATTACATCAAATAAGGCTAGTACAATGTAATATAATTTTCTCCTTGCTTGTGACTGAACCCAGCATAACTAGTTTTAGGCATATGAATGATTGATTATTGCAGATTTACTATAAGGTTTATGAAGCCAAATTTCTACAGCTTTGTTGTACTTTGATCCTTTGGCAGCTCACCCTGTGACAAAATGCTCACTCTAAAAATAATTAAGAAATTTCTTATTTAAAGTTGTATTTTTTTTACAGTCATTGACCAGGTGCACATCAAAAGTTCCTATGATTCACCGTTGAGTACTGTATCATCATTTGGAGACACCTTTCCCCCCTTTTGTTAAAAGTTTGTTAAATCAGTGATATAAACCTAAAACCTTAAATTATTTGGTAAAATGTTCTCCGTGTATACCTTTATGCATTTTATTAAAACGTTTCAATAGACCAGCAAACAAATGAAACGATACCGTACTGTAAATTACTCATAACAATGATGAAGTGAACCAACATCTTTTCAGTACTTTCAGTACTTTGATTACTACAGAAATGAAAGTGACGCAATTTTCGTGAATGGTTTTTGAAGACCAAAAATTTTAGCAAAATTTGTTATGTACCTTCTTCAGGCTTCATCATTTTTTTAGAAAAGCAAAACTTAAAACGGATTACTACGTATGACTGACTTAATCTTTCTGCGTCCCCCCCCCCCCTCCAATAGCGAATCGGGGATTGTTTACGTTTTACTCCTAAAAATAATTACTTAAATTTAAACACCCCTTGATTCCCATGTGTTTATTTTTCCTGTCATCTATAACTGAAAATATACTATAATGTTTAAATTCCACCATTACGGTTGACGTTTGATCCTAACAAAAATCTCGGCAAAATCCAAAGTAGAATTACACCATCGACACGTCAAATTTGGCTTGAAATTTCAAATCTTAATTGTTACCCTTTAAATCAAGCTTATTTCATTTAAAAAATTAAAACATTGCAACAATTCAACTTCACAAAATTTTTCATGACCTTACCGTTTTATCGATTCATCGAGAAAGGAAGAGCAGGAAACAACTAAATATTAGACTATATTGAAGAAAATCGAGAAAGACAAGCATACATTTTTTTTTAAACCAGCATGTGCTTACTATAAAATACTTTTCATTCGAATGCCTAATTTGATCTGGTGTTGTATCGTTTTATTTCAGAAAAATGACCCAGAAGAATTCCTCAGATTTTGGTTACATTATGGACTCCTGTCCCGGTAACAAGACAGAGTACACAACCTCCGTTACCAGACTGGGGTGTGGTGTGGATGAGAATGGGCGGAGTCAGTACTTCTGTGTTCCAAATCACCAGAGGTCAAGTCTAGTGGAGTTCTGTTATAATTCAACAGTTCCATTTTATGAAAAAGGTATGTTTTTATCTTTACGCATACATGACTTCAAAATTGCAATAATCTAGTAAAATTGTACTCAAGTCACTGTGATTTTTGTGCATGCAGGAAATTGTATAGAGGTTTACGAAAGTGGAAATTTGGATCAAACCAGCTGTCTCAATTTCACAGATGGATGTCCTGATGACCATTTCTTTCTCTCTGACCTGTATAAATGTGAGTTTAAACAAGATCAATATAAATAATGTAAAGATATTAAGAAATCACATTTGCATTTTTAAGCAACTACAACGAGGTATGCACCTAAAGCTTCAGGTACAAGGTAATATCTGTGAATGCAGATAATAATATTGTTAAGTATATATAGGGGGAAAAAAGTAGAATTTTAGAGAGGGAGGAGATGCAGATTGTCGCTTTATTTATTGCTGACAGCTTCATTCTTTGCAACATGACGAGAAGATCCTAAACGATAAAATTAATGTTCGTGTCTATATTGTAAAATATGTCCAGTTCTCAGGAATTTCACTTTGATATTTTGTAACTCTAATAGTATATGCTAAAGTGTATGTGTTTCTATTATTTGGTAGAATCTAGACTAAGACTACTCTTATTTTTGATACAGTCCCAGCTTGTCTAGGAGTCAATCTTCAAGAACGATGCTTTTTTGCGGATCCTGCATGTCCTAACATCACGTAAGTGAACATTGAAGAAAGAGAGAGAGAGAGAGAGACAGACAGACAGACAGACAGACAGACAACAGATAGATCATACTTATGGCAGTTAAAAAGTCAGGTCTTCATTAAGTTCATTCAGTCGACAAACAACACGTTTTATATTGTACATATACACAAAATCCATGGGGAAGATTTTTGTACTGAGAGAAATCAGTGCACACTCTGGTTTCTACTTGATCAAAAATGATGAAAATAGTGCTTGAGTTTAGTCTTTAAGGATATATCTCTGGACGATGGTTATATTTTGCTCTACATGATTATGTTGAATAGTGTAAATAAATATGTTATTCGGAAAATTGACCAAAAACTAAGGATTTGAACGTCTCTAAAGGAACACCCAATGTGGACAATGATCTGTCCTGCACACGTGCATGCGCAGATCTAGAGGGGAGGTCGACGTGATCAGAACTCCCCACCCCCTAGAATTTACAAGGTTAAAAAATATATGTACTAAAGCAAGAAAACAGTTACCATGGACCCCCCTTGGAAAACGCTGATCCCCTCTAGTAAACTCGAATATGTGTGAAATGGGTATGAAAAGTGAAAGATTCGAGGCAATAAAAGTCATAGACTACCCCCCCGCCCCCCTGGTAATAGGTTTTTGAAGCCTGGGCAAGTTTAGGTTTTTTTGGCTTGTCAAGAAATTTCTGGGATTGGATTTTTTCTGACTTGGATGAACCCCCCCCCCCCTCCCCCTTGGAAAAAAATCTGGATTCGCGCTGGACGTGTATTTAAAACTTATAATTTTCATCCATTAAAGCATATCGATATCCTTGCTTAATTGTGAAATTTTCCACTTCTTCGGATCGGACCGTATAAACCCAGGTCCCCTGTCGCAGTAGGTGCTGGTACGAAAAAGTTCCCTCTCTGCTCAGTGGCCCTAAGTGCCGAGTATAGGACAAATTTTGCAGCTCTCCGCCAGCAAGTGGTGGCGTCTCCATATAAGTGAAACATTTACGAGCTGGACCTTGAACAATGTACAATCAATCAATTAATCGTTTGTGAAATTTTAAGATCAATCAGTTTATTTTGCTTAAGTGAAATACACTAAGATTTTTTTGTAATGAATTCTAAATCTTACATTAAAGATATCAAAAAATCTGTAAAAGTTTACTTTTTTAGGTAGAAATACTTCTTCTTTTTCCTTTTCCATATAGAACAAAATTAAGGGAAGGATCTTTACCGGATGATGACTCAGCACCTATTGAGGCGATCGTTACTGTTGTCTGTATTGTTCTAGTTTTGATAACAGTATTCGTGTGGAGGAGAAAACATAAATCTAAAAGTATGCATTTTCTTTTTAAAGTGTTCAGAGTTTTATATCGGCTTAAAATGTGAAAAAATGCTTTTATTTAGTAACTTTCTGCAAAAGAGGAAGTCTTATAAAGCACTCATCATAAATATGCTTAATAAGGATACCACGAATTCCAAATATTTTGGTAAGATTAGTTAAAAATCCTTATTTGACAACAATTTTTTTCAAATAAATTTATTTCCAGAACTAAAAGTTATCAAAAGGACTTAAAGCTTCTAATCATCATATTAAGCAACACGTGGAAAAAAATAGGTTTTGCGAAATATAGACTTGAAGACCCTCTATACACAAAAGCAAAAATGGTTTCAAGACATTCATAAAATTGCATTGAAAAAAGGAAGGCAAACAAAAATGAAAGATGTTTACGTATTCATTGGCGGATCCAGAGGGGGGTTCCGGGGGTTGGAACCCCCCCTAATGTTTTGCCAAGTGGAGAGAAAGAGATATAAAATGTTTTTCGAAAATAAACATTTGTACGTATAACTCGTGTATTGAATAGATAGATTCTCTCACATTTAGTTTCTTCAATTCCCTTTCACTATAAATTACGTTTTATGAGAGAGTGAAATAAAATATTCTACTTATTTTTCTATATATCTTATAGATATGTTATGTAAACTTTGATGTTTGATTTAATATTAGATACCCGGTTGTGTTGATTATATCATGTGTACCGTTTATTGATCGTATTTTTAAAGAACTAACATATAACTCTTTGTTTTAAACCCCACCCGCACCCCACCCCAAAAAGTTTTAGCTCACCTGAGCCGAAGGCTCAAGTGAGCTTTTCTGATCACATTTTGTCCGGCGTCCGTCTGTCCGTCTGTCTTTTTGTCTGTAAACTTTTCACATTTTTGACTTCTTCGCAAGAACCGCTGGGCCAATTTCAACCAAACTTGCCACAAATTATTCTTGGGTGAAGGGGATTCAAGTTTGTTTAAATGAAGGGCCACGCTCTCATTCAAAAGGAGGTAATTGGGAATTAATGAAAATTTAGAGGCATATTTTGAAAATATTCTTCTCAAGAACCACTGTGCTAGGAAAAATGAAACTTATGGGGAAACATCCTCAGGTAGTGTAGATTCAAGTTTGTTCAAATCATGACCCCCTAAGGTAGGGCGGGGCCAAAATGACGGACCAAAGTTTTACATAGAAATATATAGGAAAATTCTTTAAAAATCTTCTTCCCAAGAATGAAAAAACCATAATTCATCATATTTATATGGAAGCATGCTCAGCTAATGTAGATTCAAATTTGCTCAAATCATGACCCCGGGGAGGGGGGGGGGGGGCAAAATGGCCGACCAAAGTTTTACATAGAAATATATAGGAAAATTCTTTAAAAATCTTCTTCTCAAGAATGACAAAGCCATAATTCATCATATTTTTATGGAAGCATGGTCAGGTAGTGTAGATTCAAGTTTGTTCAAATCATGACCCCCAGGGGTAGGGCGGGACCAAAATGGCCGATCAATGTTTTTAAAGATATATATAGGTAAATTCTTTTAAAATTTTATTCTAAAAAATAGCAAATCCATGATTGGTTGAGGGACTACTTTTGGATTTACACTTTTCAATAAAAAGCCATTTTCTACATTTTCGTACCCTTAGTGCTCAGGTGAGTGATGTGGCCCATGGGCCTATTGTTTTTTTTTTTTTTTCAAATTCTAAAAGAAATTCTTTGTACTGTTAGGAGATCCTGCAAATCCATTCGATATTTTACGGCTTCAGTAGTTTTTGAAAAGTGTTTGTTTTTTTATCCGGACTAATGGTACATGTACCTTTTCAAAGAAAAGAGGGACGTAAAACAAAAATTATCTACTTCAAAATTAGATCTTCCTATACGTGTGTGTGAATCTAGCTTTGCTTGAGAGAGAGAGAGAGAGAGAGAGAGAGAGAGAGAGAGAGAGAGAGAGAGAGAGAGAGAGAGAGAGAGAGAGAGAGAGAGAGAGAGAGAGAGAGAGAGAGAGAGAGAGAGAGCACTCGCGCTCACCGACTTGTGGGGAACTCACACCTGACAAAGGACCTTTCTTATGGGGAAAGTTCAGAATTGTGGGGAACTCTCTCGTTCCCCACAAATATGGTCATGGGGTTTTTTGAATTCTACGTGTTCTACTGATAATATTTATTCGATTTGTGGTCATTTTTGAAAAATTCCCCATAAGTCCGTAAAATTGACTCGCAGTAATTTTCTCACTGCACCGTAAAACGAATGTTTGAGGATGCTGGGAAATGTTCATTCGGAACGCAGCGGAATTTAAACTGGTCCCCATATGATACCAATTTATTGCGGGCAATGGCTGCTCCGAGAATATGTGGTAAGTAGATTTTTTATCATATTTTAAAGATATTGTAGGCTGAAAACTTAATTTAACTACGTAAATCATGCATGCAGTTATTTCTTACAGACGTTCGTAAAGTAACATTTAATAATGAATGCACGTAAAACTTTGGGAAAGTTTGACCCGACCTAGACCTCGGTTATTTTTTTTTTAATATTGTATCATGTTTATAGGCCTAA